CATGTCATCTAGTAGCCAATGCTCTCTTCAGATAATGCAGAACAAAAGCTTGAAAGAAGTGGAGAAGGCAAGACATGAAAAAGCCACCTCTGAGTGCCCAGGTAAGGTACTGCAGCAACAGCCAATGGCAGGCACCAGCTAATAAACACAGTGGATGAATCTGATCTGGGGATAGCAAGAAAACTCATGTGTACCTGATGGTATACAGGAAAAAATAGGTGCATTTATGGAAATCAAACTTGAAAAGGAGCAAGAAATTATAGAGAGGTTAGAATTAATTAAATAAAAATCTAAGTAGTTGAGCTCTGGTAAGGATTTGTGTTGCCAACCCAAAGACATGGGGTTTAATTCCACCAGCTGCTCTGAGGGAAAAAAATAGGCCGTCTTCTCCCATTCAATTTTCCGCCTTTGAAAACTTGCTAAAGGTCCAGATATGAGTCATTTCTGACTCCACAGAAAATAAGAACAACAATTTAGAGAACAAAAGTGGTAGGAATAGCAGAGATAATCTCAGAACCTCAGAATATTCTGAACAGAAAATATATTTGCATTACATCTTTCAGAGGTAGAACAAAAGTTCTGGTTTACAAGCAGGTTTTCAGTGTTTTCATGGGAGGAGATGGAGGTAGTGGCAGAAGTCTCAAGAGGTAGCTTGTTATTAATATTCCATGGGTTGCCAAAGAATAAACAGATATGTTTTGGAGAAAATAAAAGTAGAGTGTTTCTTGGAGGTAAGATAGTGAAGTTTTGTCTCACATAGTTGGAGCATGTTGTTAGGAGAGGCTGTTCCTTAGAAAAGGACACCATGTGTGGAAAGGTAGAAAGTCAGCAAAGCAGAAGACCCTCAGCAAGATAGATTAATACAGTGCTTATGATAATGGACTCAACAGTGTTAGGGATGATTAAGTTGACACAGGCTAGGAAAGGGTTCAGCTCTGTTGTTTTAGGGTCACTGTGAGTCATATTTGACTCAACAGCACCTAACAACAACAAATTGAAACCAACTTACAGCTAACCCTCTAATTGCATGGGAAGAAGCTGTCCATCTTTCTCCCATAGAGCACCTGATGGATTCAAACTGCAAGCCTTTGACTTGGCTGTGTAACTCATTATCACTAGGCCACCAGAGTTCTCTTAGAAGTAACTTCTTAGTTTTGTATATGTTGTTGTAAAAAAAGAACAAAGGCCACATGGGGACACCCATATGTGACCTTTACCAACTTTACAAAGGGGAAGTGTCCCCGTCAACAACATTAACAATACAAAGACAATTTTATGAGGTCAGACACCTCCCCCATGCCCCACACTTCTTCCTACTCATTCCAACACCAATCTCACTGCTTTTCTGAGTCAAAAATCTGATTAAATAGCTCACAGACCACACAGAACCATATTGGTAAAGTGAAAAGGCTATAACTCAGGTTAGTAGCAGAATATAATCAGAACAGCTTCTGAAATGTGCTTATAACCACCTCAGACTTAAGTCTTGCAACTTTTGGCCAATACTAAAAAGTTTTCTGTCCTGCCAATATTGCCTCTCTTCCACCACAGTTCTCCAGCAAAAGGATCTTAGTGCTGACTCGATCACATAGCATTTCCAAGGTCTGCTTTCTCTCGTGCCAGGTCTCTGGTTCTCTACTGTGGCTGCTATGGCTGTTGTTTCCACAGGAAAACCATTGCTACTTCAATGATTTTGTAAATTCCTGCCTAATTTGGGAGGGACTGGAGAGCATTATGCTAAGTGAACTAACTCAGTCCCATAAGGACAAACACTACACAAAACCTTTATTGTAGAAATAGAAAGATAACTAGTAAAATATAAATGAGGATCTAAGGGGGGAGGGTAGGAGCAGAGAGGTGAGGATGGATAGGGGGGTAATTGTACAGTCACACAATTTGATGGGTAGAGGGAAGGATGAGTAAAGGAAATGGGAAACATCTCATGTGAAAAACAACGTATACAAACTTTGTAAGTAAACCAACAAAAAATAAAAATTTTATATATAAAAAAAATACAATATCTAGGAAAGCATTTTGATCACTAAGTCCTTAATACCACAGTTACTGTTGAGTTGGATCCAACTCATAGTCGACTCTCCTGTAGGTTTTCATAAGCTGTTAGTAACATGGGAAGAAATTGTCCCCTGTTATTCCATGGAGCATCTAATGGGATTACATCATGTGCCATTGGGTTAGCAGTGCAATTCCTTAACACTAAGCTACCAGAACGCCCTTACAAGCAATTGTTGTTATTGTAGTTTAGAGCCATGAGTCAAGATTGACTTTCAGCAACCCTATGCTGTGAACAACATATGCGAACCCTGTCCTATCCTGTGCCATCTTTATCCCTGACACAGTTGAGCTCAATGCTGGAGTCATTGTGCCAATCCATCTTATTGAGGGCCTTCCTCTCCTTTGCTGGCCCTTCATCTTTCCAAGCATGAAGTCCCTCTCCAAAGAATAGCCTTTCCCAGCAACATGCTAGAAGCATATGAGATGAAGATTTGTCGTCCTTGCCTCCAAGGAGTACTCTGGTAAGAAGAGTCTTTCTCCAAGACATACCTGTTTGCTTTTTGGTAGTCCATTGGATATTCAGCACTGTTCTCAAACATCACAGTTCAAAGATATCAATTAGAAAATGAAAATATGAGTGATTGAGAATTTGGATAAGAAGTGCATTGAAATCCTGAAACTGCCTCAGACGTTGCTAAGCCTCATTCTGACAAGAAATACAGAGTTGAACATTGAAATATTAACAAAGGAGAAAGACTCACTGAAGATCAGAAGGTAACAGTAGGTTTGAGCATTGGCCGAATTAGAGTTTTAACCATTCACCTCTAAGGAGCGTGGCTTTTTTCATGAGGGTAAAGATAAGAAGCTCATGGCCAAGGTCAATGTCCTGCCCTTGTTCAATAGTATGGCCACTCAGTACAGACACAGAAGTTGTGCTACATCCACTAGCTCTCCATTAACATTGCAGATGTCAAATTTATTACCATTATTTCCTAACAACTAGAAGAAATTTGAAGAAAATGTGCACAAAACCACTGTGTGGCATTGTAACTATTACATTAATAAATTATAATTAAGATTTTAAAACAAAGCATGTGTAAATTATTAAATGAAAGCTAATATAGTTTGTAAACTTCCACTCAAATAAGACCAAACACTGTCTGGGCTGATGTGGCTGAAGGTAGGGACTTGAAGTCCTGAGACGACTCCAAGGATTTCCTTGTAGCCAAGCCTCTCTCAGGGCCGAGAGAGGACAAGAAGCCTAAACTTAAAGATATTTAGGAGTTTCTGTGCCATGGATCAGTCTGACCCAGCAGGGATGCTGTTTAGGGTTCAGACAGCACAGAAAGTTGCATCAAGAGGGAATAAAAACAGAGGACAATGGAGATGAGAATGCAGGAGAGAGTAGATACCTCCGAGAACTTATGTATTGGTGATAATTAAGGCAAAAGAGATATGGGATGCGGAAAGATTACCTTGCCAAGGTTTTCTGAAAAGTAAATTTCAATGATCATTTGGTGGGTCAGAGACCTGGTGTGGAGTTTTCAGGCTGAACTAGGAAGAAGCCGTAGAGGTCAGAGATCAGCTCTCTAGACTCTGAAGCCAGTACTTGCTTCTGGGCCAAGGTTTTTAGACTCCAAAAATCAGTGGGGAATGGCTCCTCAACTCTTGAAGGAGAAGAAGATCCTCAACAAGGTAGATTGAAACAAGGACAGTAACAATGGGCTTGAGCAAATCAGAGATCACGCAGGAGGGTGGCGCCGGTTAGAGGGTGGGGTTCAGATCTATTGTTCATGGATGGGTCGCTGGGGGTTGTAGTGGACTCCTAACAATTACACCTAGCAACACCACCTGGCAACAACAACAGGCTCTTGTTAGGAAGCGCTAGTGCTCCACTTTTTGTGCTCCTAACCCCAAAGGGGGACCTCTCTGGCAGTCCCAATCCACCAGCAGCTCTGAGAGGAAAAGATGGGCTATCTCCTTCCTTGTGATTTACCACCTCAAGAACCTGTGAGAAGGCCAGTTATCAATAGGTTCTGACTCAACGGCACTGAGCTGAGGACCTCTGACTGATTTCCCATGTGGCAGGAGTTTAAGCCCTCCTTCCCTCCGCCTCCCCTCTCCCACAGCTCCCTCATTTCCTCTGAGCTTTCCTTGCTCTCTCTCGGACATCATACCTACATATCACACTCCTCACAGGTCTCTGTACCCAGTGTCAGGCATCTCACAGGACACTTACAGAGCTCCCCTCTATGGATCCAGTACTTATCTATACTTGGGGACATGTGCATCACCACTGCGCTAAACATGTTTCAGCGGAGCTTCCAGACTCAGTTTAGGAAGAAACAGAACTTTTGTGTTACTTCTGAAGATCAGCCAGTGAAAACCCCATGGGCTCCAAAGCTCTGACACACACTGACCGTGGGTATGGGGCAGGACTAGGCAGTGTTTCCTTCTACCGTGTACAGGGCCATGATGAGTCAGAACAAGCCCCACCACAGCTAACACCAGCAGTGATTCTGTGGAGGAAGTAACAGGGAACGAACTTCAGGGATTTGCTGATAATGAACTTGTTATCACCACCCACCCAACTTGGCCTCTCCCCTGACCTATTTAGCCTCATCTCCATGGAAAAGGCACGTGTATTCCTAAAGATGGAGACAAGGGCATTCAAATAAGGAATGACAACATCAGACCTGGAAATTGCCAAGGAGAGGAAGCCCCTCAATCAGATGGTTTGATACAATTACTGCAGCAATGGGCTTAAGTGTGTCAGAGATTGTGACGATGTCACAGGATAGGACAGGGTTCAGACCTACGGTTCGTGGGGCTCCGATGAGTCGTACTCAACTCAAGGGCACCTAACAACAACTCCAACTCCTTAAAGTGGGATCTCTTCTGTCTCAAACAGGCCCCTCCATTTTCACCCATAGCATTGATTATAATTTTTAAGCCTTCAGTGGCATGCACTTTATCAGAAGAAACGCATGGCTTACGCCCTGCTGGGTGTGATCCTGTGTGGTCCCTACTCTGCCCAGGGCAGGGTGTGCACATGGCCAGTTTTCCACGTTGGCAACCTGACTGTTACCCTGGCAGGATCTGCCTTCCCTCCTGTCGGCTGCAGGAGGCCCGGAAGCCTCACCTCCAGAGGGCACAGCCACCCCTCACCTCCACTCTGCTTCTGTCGTGTGGCTATCTTAGCTCTCTTTCCCAACAAAAGACCCACAGGGCCAGTGCCATGGGGGAGAACAGAAAGGTTATCGGTGCATGCTGAGCAAACAGAGAGGAGATTATAAAACACCTTCCGGAGTAAAGGCTGTACACTTTGTAGGCAGCTGCTGGCAGAGGCTGCACACCACAACATGGCACCCCGAGGCTCTGGGCTCCTAGTGGCAGTCTTCCTCCTGGGGCTGTCCGCCCTGGCAGCCAGCGACAAGCCCAGTAAGTGAAGGTCCCGTAAGTAACCCTCTGCGGCTCAGTCTCTCCATCTGTGAAATGGAGCACTTAGGCTCTGCTATGCCCAGGCTGAAGGGGTCTTCGCTTCCACGTGTCTCCTTTCCATTGAGTTGTCTTTTATTATACCAGGTTTGTTCTGTGTTTCTCTTAAGGGAGGAGCAGGGATGGTGGGGAAGACTGAATAATAAGTTCATTCAAGAAGGGAAGTGGCAAAAAGATTTGCCAAAGTTTGTGATGTTCTGGCCACATATATACAGGTCTTCTGTGTTTTCTTCCATTAATGTTTCCATTATCAGGCTGGGTAGTTGACCATCACTTTCCAGGTACAGGTCTGGAAGTTTGTAGGTAGCCTGCTTGGCAGGGGGCTGGGTCAGTGGGGGGCGCTCACTGAGGGCTCCTCCTGGTCCCACCTTCTCATCTCTTCCTTTGACTTTCTCCAGGGATCTCCCTTTATCCTCTTTCAAGAAGATTATTCTCCCATTCCTTTTACACTCATGAAATAGTTTCAGCAAAACCCTTGTAGCTCCTGCAAAGGGGTTGCACGGTCCAAATATAGATAGCATTTTGGGGATTCTCAGTTGAGAGTGTCCCCTAAAGCCCCGTGGGGCCAGGCAGAAGGGCTATCTTAGCCCTGCAGCTGCCTGATGAGATTTCTTCCCTAGCTGCCTGCCAGTGCTCAAGGCTGAACCCCCAAAACAGGAAGAACTGTGGCTTCCCCGGCATCACCAGTGACCAGTGCTTTGACATGGGGTGCTGTTTCGACTCCAGCGTCGCCGGGGTTCCCTGGTGTTTCAATCCTCTCCCAATGCAAGGTAACATGCCTGAGACAGAGGCCTTCCCCTAGGGGCTGCCATGGGTGTGGGCTTTACGGGAACAGAACTGGAACCCACCTCACCCACCATCCGCCAGTGCTCGCAGCTGCCCAGTCATCAGTCCAGCCCTGGCCCCGCCAAAAGTGAAGGGCCCTGTGCCAACCCAGGATGAGGTCCAAGCCCGCAGGTGTGGCACCTTCTGCCAAACAGCTCTTTGAACCAATGAGTGTTACTTTCTTTAAATAACAAAAAAAGGTGCAGCTCCCTATTATCTCTAAAAACTTGACTTCTGGGGAAACTTAAAAGAACAATGAAAGCAATTACTACAACACGAAACTATTATCTGCTAAGAGAGCCCAAACGTTAGGAAATTAAGTCAAGCATTCTAGGATTATCTTTTGGAAGATAGTTTTACACCAATTCCTAGTGTCAGGATAGCAAGTGGCTCATGTCAAGATGTGTGTAAGGAAGAACGTCCTCACAGGGGGAGAGCCCAGCTCCCCTGGGCCTCTTGTGGGGACTCTTAGGCAGGGTTTTGCCCCCTTACACTGTCAGCCAGGGGCCCAGTTAACTGTGGACACGAACGAGAACAGACTACCCTCATAGAAACGTTGTTGTCATACCCATCCCCACACTGGGCTTTACCTCCGTAAAAGGCATTCCCAAGCCTCTTCCCATCTTGATGCAGTGGGCGATCCACATTTTACAGAGCAGAGTATTGTGTTCTGAGAGGCCAAATGGTACTCCTCAGGTTCCTGTTCTCCATCTCCTGACTCTGATGACTACCACACAATGGTTCATAGCAACAGAGCCCATCACTGACTCTGACACACAAGAATAGTAGGTGCCAAGCCCTTCTAGCTCATGGCCACCCTATGTGAGTCAGAGCAGAGCCGGACTCTATGTGGTTTTCAGAGCACCAGACCTTTCTCCCAAGGCACCTCTGAGATTATTGCACTGCTAACTTTCCATTAATAGCCTAGGACGTTAACTGTTTGCACCATGCAGGACTTCAAGCACTTAAACAACCCCTGGATGTTACAGTCTCTGAAGTCACAATCCCTCAGCTACACTGAAGCTGTGAATCCAGTCATATTCCTGGTGGGAGGATAGGAACGAAAGTTTCTAGTCAGTCACTAACTTAACTGACTCTCTGTGCTGCCCCCCTCCCTGCATGTGATGACCCGTGAGCAGTGTCAGAGCAGTGTGTCATGGAGGTGAGCGCCCGCAATAACTGTGGGTACCCCGGCATCAGCCCAGAGGACTGTGCCTCCCGGAAGTGCTGCTTCTCCGACACCATCCCTGGCGTGCCCTGGTGCTTCTTCCCTCTCCCTGTGAATGGTAACGCAAGTCTAGCCTTCAGCCCACCACCTGGGTTCTGGGGATTGGGGGGAATTGGGGAGGTGGAGGGTCATTGCCTGAACGCCATCCAGAGCCGGCCCATGGCTCCATTGGGTGTTCATTTCAGGAAGAGATACACAACTATACACAGATCCAAGGGACATTCCTGCCTTCATGGTAGACCAATTTTGAAGGCAATGCCTGATGTTCTCAACAATGACAGCCCCCTTTTACTGAGTGCACTTACTTCAGCTCTCTGGCTGCACGGTTGGGATGACACAGCATTCTCTTTCTTGGCCATGCCCCTAGATTTCTGCCCAGGGTGGTGGCCTTGCCTATTTTAGATATTGTTAAGTACCGGGCACTGGGTTGGGTCCCAGGGTGCCATGGTGCCTCTTCGCAGGAAATTTGCCCTTCATGTGTGACCACGTGAGGCAGATTCTTCCCACAACATCCTGCTCCAGGCACTGTTCAAGAGGATCTAGTCTTGAGATGTGAATCTTTCCCACAAGTTACAGTGTGTCTCTACTGAGTTTGGAAAGGCAAAGAAAATTGTACAACTTATTACAAAAATGAAGAGAAGGTATTGCTCCTTTAAGATCAAATTACTACAAAGAGTAAATCTAAAATCATTGTGGTTGAGTCAATTCTAACTTATAGTGATGCTCCAAGGTGAAGGACTAGAGGTAAAAAGCTGTGCTGCCATCCCAAAGACACACAGTTCGAATCCACCAGCTGCTCTGAGGAAGAAGGATGGCAGTTTCCTCCTGTGTGACTTACAGCCTCTGAAAACCCACTGGAGGGGCAGCAATGGATTGGTTCTGACTCAATGGCACACAGCAACAACAGCAACAACAACAACAACAGGATGGAGTAGAACTACTCCATAGGTTTTCTACCTTCAATTTTTAAAAATTTCTGATTGTACCTAAATGTCTGCCTGAAAGCTTTCTAATACTTTGAGGAGAATGGACTTCAAAAAAAGACAATCATACTTTGGGGGATTTCATTCCTTTTCTGTATTAAGTCAACACACCCACCTTGTTTAGCTTAGCTGCCCTTGTTCCCATGATGCTCTTACTGATTCTCCTGCATATTCGATTTCCAGACTGCCATTATTAAGAAGCACTGGCCTCAGAGAATCCACCCGGCCTCCTAAACATCCTAAAAAAGTTTTTAAAGGAAGAAGAAGATCCACCATCTATCTCATCAGCATCACGTGTCACCTGTCGTGATTCCTGGATTTTCTTCCTCTCCTTTTTATTCCCCTCAGTGGTTTAATAGACAACTTCTTCAAATAAAGACAGTCTCTAAAACCTGCTAAATGTCTTTTCTCACTTCTCTGGCACAATAATGGGGAGGATGCTGGTGATGGGGTATGTATGTGAGTAGGAAAAGGTGTGTGTCAGAGTGTGCACATGCGTAGTTTTAACAAATGTTTTATTTACCACAAAACAACTTATTCATAAAATACATACAGGCTATTATAGCAACAATAAAATAGTCTGTGTAAGTGATTCTCATAATCCACAATCATCTTATAACTACCCATCTGTTAAATCAATTTATAGGTTGATTCCAACCTACAAATCCCTTGTAAGGACAAAGTGGAATTTCTCTTAACGTTTCCAAGGTCAAGATCATTGCAATAGTAGACTGCAGCATCTTTTTTTCCTTGGGGTGGCTGACGGATTTGCACTGTCAACCTTTTGGTTAGCAGTTTACTGTTTTAACCACTGCACCACCAAGACTCCCATAACTCCTCATATCCAAGCATTTTTCATAAAAGTTCATATGGTTTTAATAGTTGCTATGTGCTCTTGAGCCAGAATCGACTCATAGCTGACCTTCCAGGGGGGTTTCTGAGGCCATAAGTTGGACAGGAAGAGATTGGCCATCTCTCTCCCACGGAGCAGCAGATGGCTTTGAACCACTGCTTTGGGATTGGTATGCAGCTCCTTACCATTGGCCCACCAGAGCTTTCTGATTTTAATAGACAGAGTGAAAATCCAGGATCAAAGCTCAAAAAACATAACATCTGGCTCACACAAAAATAGCTGACAGAGACTGATAAAGCCTCTGAGGCTATGGCTCGTGGTCACTGTGGAATCTAGAACAGCATTCTTCCCATGCCTCAACTTTTAGCCAAACAATAGACAGGCCTAGTAGGTGAACCTGGAGCTCTGGTGGCTTAGTGGTAAGGAGCTGCGCTGTCAGTACAAAGGTACACAGTTCTACTCCACAGGAGAAGACTAGACAATCTCCACTAGTGCAATTTACAGTCTCTGAAAATGTGCTGGAAGGTCAGCTATGAGTTGATTCCTATTCGATGGTACCCAGCAACAACAACAACAACAAAGTGAACAGTAACCGGCTTAACTATGAGTCAGTTCCTCCTTGATGGTACTCAACAACAAGGTGAACAGCGACACCAGGGAAGCAAGCACTCACTCCCTAGAATAACTAACCAGGTAAACTTATAAAGGCAGCAGCTGATCAGGGATAGAGCTCAGACGTGGGAAGAAATAGACTAGAAGGATGACTGTAAACTAGAATCACAGGGAAGAAGTGGAAAGAATGTGTTCACTTTGTGAGTGCTGTAATTAATGACACAAAGCAAAACATGTATGTATGAATGATTGAATGGAAAGCCAATTGGCTTTGGCTTTGTAAACTCACTGAAATTCCCATCACAATAATACTGTTGTTAGGTGCAGCAGAGTCATGAACAATAGATCTCAAGTCTGTCCTGTCCTGTGACATCCTCGTCATCTCTGACACACTTGAATCCATAGGTGCAGGCACCGTGTCAATCTATCTCATTGGGAATCTTCCTCTTTTCCAAGCATGATGTCCCTTTCCAAGGAATAACCTCTCCTAGCAACATGTCCAAAGTATGAGAGACAAAGCTTCGTCATCCTCGCCTACAAAGAGTGCTCACTGGTACTTTTCCTAATATGTATCTGCTCATCCTTTTGGCAGTCCATGGGATATTCAGTGCTTTTTCACCACAACTGAAAGGTATCAATTCTTCTGTCATCATCATTCATTGTTCGATCCAGAGGAAGTGATCAAAAAGATCCTGGCTTGAATTGGGCACACCTTAGTCTTCAAATTGACATCATTTCTCTTCAGTATTTTGGAGAAGACTCTGACAATGGACTTGCCCAAAGGAGTATGTTTCCTGATCTCCTATCTGCTAGCACCAAAAGTTTTGATTGTGGATCTAAGTTAAGTTGAAATCATTGACAATTTCAATCCTTTATCTATCATGATGTTTTCTATTAGCCCAGTAAAAGACAAATCACAGTTCACATAATTTTTGCTCTAGAAAACTTACAGTAACAAATTTCTGATCACAGATAAATAATTCCCTCATGTTTACAATATGTATTATTAACTTCTTGCTTTTGAGATGGAGTTCAAGGTACCATGCATGCCACCTTCATCAAGGGGAAACCACTGACTCTATTCCTATTGCCACTAGAGGGAGCCCTCCCACCTCTCTGCTTTGTCCTCGCTTTCTCCACCTGAGGGCAGCTTCAATATGCTGTGTTCCATGTGGAGAATGAGGTAGGGAGTAAGTTGGTAGCATTTCACTTGGAGTCGAATTGGAACTATGCAAACCTCCTTGATTCTTTAATTCTTCCAAAACAAAATCTTTTTAAATTGCAGCAAATCCAGAGATAAAATGGAAAGTCACATTCCCCCCCCCCCCCCGCCCCCCATCACTATGCGACTTTCAAGGCCTAGAACTTCCAGAGGAGGGTAGGGCTCAATAGACATCAACTTTGCATTGGAAGACAGAAATTTTATGAAGCATTTCTTCATTAAATGTATTTGGAACCATATTACACTTCTGGTTGCAAGTTTATGTCATATTCTTATTTTTTCCCTTCTTTTTTATTATTCTGCTTTTTTGCTTTTTTTTTTCATTTCTTGCAATTCATTTTTTTAACACTGGTTTACCTACAAAGTTTGTACACATTGCCCCTCACACCAGATCCCTCCACTTCCCCCTACCCATCAAACCATACGACTCCGTGACTACTCAGTGATGACTCCCTGCCCTTCGCCACCCTTCTGCTGTCCCTCTCCTCCCCTCTTAGATTGTCATACATGTTCTACTAGTTATCTATTTCTACAATAATGGCCTTATACATGTTCTCATATTCCGGAAAAGGTGACTCTAAAGCGTACAACTTTGCGCACCTTTGCATTTTTGCCTTCTTTTTAGTCATCTCAGGGACTCTTGCTAGTCACATGAAGTTTCAGAAACAATTGAGACAAATGGCCAATGGAGACAGGACCCTGGTTTTGATGCTCAGCTGTCACTGAGCGTTGTGCCCCTCCCAACTTCTCCTAGGACAAGTAGCTCATGGTTTGGAGTCTGGAAAGCGAAGACAGATCATGTGGGCATCAGAAAAAGGCCCTGTATACACCTTTCAGGCCGTATGGGATATGCCTGCTCTCATACGCCTGAGAATCTGGAGGTACTGCTCTTAGAACAACATTTCTGGTATGAACTTATATTAGCATCACCAGTGACCCTTGTGTTGCATACCACAACCCTTTTTCCTGGGAGAAATGAACATAAAGAGACAAACACACACAGAAGACAAGACAGGACTGCCACAAAGAAAAACACACTCACACAGACAGGACGAGATAGGACAGCCTCATGGGTGTGTATTTATTGGAATTTAAAGGGGTCTAAGCAATGATCTCATTTATTAGGGTTTCCATAAAACCATAATGAACAGTGATCTCATATCTCAGTTTTCACAGAATCATAAAAGGTATGTACAGAAACAATCAATCAAGGGAGGGCACATACTCTGTTCCTTATGATAGATGGTGCTTTTCACATGAGAAAGGTCAGGAGACCGAAATGACTTAAAAATATATGATTTACAGGAAGAGAGACCTCCAAGTTCCCAGCCCTTTTGCAGGACAGAGGACAAAGGTTTCTCTTTAATTATTAAACCAGAGAGTTACCT